AATTTTTTTTTTTTTTTTGGTAAAGCAAAAAAGAAAAGGTTTATTCAGCATATATTCAAAGAGGCAAAAGTGAGAAACAGACAAACATGCTTCCAGAGCTAATGTCTGTCCAAGTCCAAGGAATATTACAGAATAAGCAAGAATGGGAAAACAGACAAGCAGGTTGACAGAGCCATGTCTGCCTGAGTTCAAGAAACTTCACAGAATCATCAGTATATATATTAACATTACAAACGGGCAAAACCATTGAAAGCTTCACCTTTTCACAGATTGGCTAGAAACTGCTAAATCACTGCAATTCTATATTTTGAATTGTCTTTCTTAATAATCATTGGTACAGGTTTCAGTAATGACAGTCATGAGGGTCTTAACTGGTCCAACAAATCTTACTATTCACTAAATGCTAAAAGAAAAAGATAAAGGTGGAAAGTACGTGGGTCTTTTGTGCTCTGTTTTATTAGTTTATGTGAAAGGTTCCCTAAAAGATGTATTCCAACATTGTGCTAGCTATTGTCTTTATATCTCAGGGCCCAATTGATGTGTCCTTGTGAGTCCAACTCCAGCTGGGTCATGTTCTGTATGCTCAAGGACAGGTAATAATGGCTCCAATATTATCTCCTAAATCATTCCCTCCTTTTGATCCAAGATTGGAGATTACACATCAATGATCAATACCTGGACTTAGTTGAGCTCCGAGATAGTAGCCATGTCAAGCTCTTTAAACTCATGGTGCTGGTTTTCCACTGGATACCATCTGGTTCTTCACCAGGATCTTAAGTAAGAGTGATGTTTTCATCAATCCCATTGCCTAAGTGAGCAGACTCAATGTACATCAACATTTTAGCCCAAGGCCTTCTTTTGTCTTTTAAGTGTGTAAGACAATAGAAGATAAGTTTTATTATGCTTAATACTATCAGGATGCAGGCTAAGAATATTACTATTCCTTGCAGTAATGATCTAGCCCATGTATTTATTCCTGATGGTAACCAACCAAATAAATCTAGTGTTTGAAAGGATGTTACAGTGTGTAACCAAGTAGCTTGCTGTCTAATTCTATGTATATCCTATTCTACTTCTCCTGTGTTATTTATCCAAATCCAACAAGAGGTATTTCCTCAGCACAGACTACATTTTCTTGGGCTAATAAAAAATCTAAGGCTATTCTGCTGTCTCATGTCACCTTAGCTTAATGAGATCAGAGATTGTTGTTGTGTTTCTATCCCATTAGCAACTTTGTCTGCTATTTGTCCCATAGTGATTGATAAATTTCTTAAATATTTCTCTAATTCAACTATACCATAAGTAGGAATTAAAGTGTTAGACCAATGGGTTTTCTTCTGACTCTCGTTTTATAATCTTTTACAAATTAACATTACCTTTCCAGTATTTACTAGCATTATTACTGTGAATATCTAAAGGTAATCCTAAAGTTCCCAAAGTGCACTGTCCATGCATTCATTAGAAATCTAAACAAGAGATTGCCCACATAAATTCACCGTCAGTTGGAAAGGGATCATCTAAACTAGTATAGTTGGATCCACCACAAAAAAACATATCCATAAGGAGCACACAAAGTTTGTCTAAAGAAAACAGAAGGTATAGAAAAATTTATATGTGACAACCAAATTTTCATTATAGAATACATGATTAGCAAGATAATATAAGATGGACCTCTCCTGTTGGAGATCTTCAGTTAATCTCTTCAAAACATACTAAGTGTTCTTCCTGAGGGCAAGCTGCCCCTCCTTGGTTTACCTATTAACACAGTCATGGGTCACTTTCTCAGAAGCGGAATTGGAATCTAAGACAAAATGCACTCTGCACCATGAGGTCAATCTCCTCTGAGAATCTGGTCTCTTTAAGATACATAAACTTCTGTTCAGTAAGGGGGTGACAGTTTGATTACAAACATTAGACAGGTATTTCATAAGACACTGTCTTAAAGATTAATTATAATAATTACTGATTTACCCTAAACATAGCTGTCAGTCTGATCTTTGGAGTCAGTTTCTCAAAACAGACTGAATTCTTCAAAAAAGCACAACTCCCGGAGCAAAACAGTCTTATTAGTTTATCTGGACCATTGTTTGACTCAAAAGTGTCTTCAGGAACCAGTTTTTTTCTCAAAGATTGAGGTTCAAAAGGACACCCAAAGATGACGGCCTGTGTGGGTTACCCTAACCTCCATGAAAGCCAGAAATCTGGATTCCAGGAGAATTATAACTCTTTCATGATTCCCTCCTTTGGACCATGATCTTGCTATAGAATCTTTGATCAAAAACATTCAGTAATGGTAGTTGAGCATCCTCTGGTTTTTAAGATCCCAGGCACCATACAGTGAACTAGGAGGCAGAATAGAAACACTAACAATAATATTAGGTCAATTGTCTGAAATAAACAATGAAACATGACCCTAAAGTCAGCAATAAAGTCTTTTTTAATTAAGGTATGTACATTGTCTTTTAGACATGATGGATACTTGATGGAAACCCTGGTCGCATAGTGGTTAAGAGCTATGGCTGCTAACCAAAAGGTCAGCAGTTCGAATCCACCCGGCACTCCTTGGAAACTGTATGGGGCAGTTCTACTCTTGGATAGGATCACTATGAGTCGGAATCGACTCGATGGCAGTGGGTTTAGTTTTTGGTTTGGCACACTTAATAGACTACAGTATAGTGTAAACAGCTTTTATATACGCTGAGAAACCAAAAAATTCATGTGACTCCCTTTACTGCAATACTCGCTTTACTGCTGTGGTCTGGAATCGAACCCGGAATATCTCCGAGGTATGCCTGTGTACATAGTGAGTATTTAATCCATGCTATAGAAAAAAAATAGAAAAGACAAAAATCCCTGCTCTCATGGAGGGAAGGGAGGACAGACCATAAACAAAATAAATAAGTAAAATATATAGCATGTCAAATGATGATAACCACCAAAAAGAAAAAATAAGGGAAGGAGGAGGGACAAGGAGTGTTGGTGGCAAGGGCATTGCAAATTTAAGTAGATGGTTAAGGAAGGTCTCACTGAGAAGTTCACATTTAAGCAAAAATTTGAAGGAGGTGAGAAAGTAAGCTATATGGCTTTCTGGGGGAAGAGAATTCCCGTCAGAGGGACAGCAGTTGCAAAGACACTGAGGTTAGGAGCCTGTCTTCTATGTACAAGGAACAGAAAGCAGGCCAGTGTGTCTGGAGCATAGACAGTGACTAGAGAGGCAAGGTCAAAAAGGAAATAGAGGTGAGGAAGAGGAGAGATTATACAGGGTTTTATAGGCCATTACTAAGACTTTGACTTGAGATGAGATGAGAAGCTATTGAAGGATTTTGCCCGGGAGGGTGAAATGGCGTACTTATATAATTAACCAGATCACTCTAACTGAGAATCAACTGTACGCAGCGGAGGGCAGAAGCAGGAAGACTTTTTAGGAAGCTATAACAATAGAGAGGACAAGAAACTGTGGAATATTCACACCTATGAAATATCATAAACAGTGAAATTTTTTTTAAATTATGGTTATGTGCCACAAGGTGCAAGAATCTCAGAAAGAAAACATGGAGTGAAAAATAAGTTGTAGAAAACTACCTACAGCAGGAGTCTTCTGTAAACTACTTAAGACTACATACAGTAGTCTCATGTTTTTATGAAGCTCAAAAACAAGAAAAACTAAATAATATATTGTTTTGGTGCTACATTCAAGTGTTATAAAACAATTAAAATAAGGAAATGATACACACAAAATTCAGAATAGTTGTTCATTGGCAGAGGGAGGCAGGGGGATGTGATAGGGAAGAAGATCTCAGAGGCAAAATCATAGGCTCTTATGCTGGGTGGTGTATTCACATGACTTTATTTTACTATATGCTTCATAAGCTACACCTGCATTACATATAATCTTGTGTGTATCAAAGAATTTTTTTAAATACATTCGGAAAGCAGTGTCTGAAAGAGATACCTCTTACATCCTTTAAGAGAAATAAATGTCCTTTTTATTCTATTCTTGTATCTCTCTCCATGGGCCTCACGCTCCCACATCATATCTACGTTAGGTCTTTGAAAAGCAGTTGTCTGCATTATTGCCGGAACATTTCTAATATCTAATCCAAACTCATTGGTCATGAAAATGAATAGACCTGTTAACTCTGTGTTTACTCTCACGCCATCTAGATCAGGTAAAAAGTCATTATAAAGTCTGAAATACAGAGTCTTGTGGAAAATACAGCAAGTTCATGTTTGCCTTGCCTGGGCACAATCTTTAATAAGCACATACTTGTAGGAAATTCTACCAAGATTTGATTTTACCATTGAAAATTTCTCAAAAGTACTTTTTTTTTTCCAATTTAACAGGTATTTTTAATTTTTTTAATATGTTATATGTATTCCTGTGATTTAAATTTCAAAAGGTATAAACTTGATACAATGAAAAATGTCCTCTTATCCCTATTCCATGGCCACCAAGTTTCCCTCCCTGGAGATTAAAAAAAATAATAATAATGTTTCTTATATATTCTTCCAGAAATACTTTATGTGTATACAAGCAAATATATATAAACATTCGTTTTATTTCCTATTATACAAATTGTAACATCCTTTCATACCATTTTATACCTTGCTTTTTTCAGTTTACAAATACTGATCATTCAATATCACTAGACTTTCTTCTCTTTTTATGGAAATATAGTATTCTACTTTACAAATAATTTATAAACCATAATTTATTTAACCAGTCCCTATTGATGGACATTAAGGTTGTTTCTAGTCAAAAGGACTTGTAAAGCCAGATGTTGCTACAGTTATCCAGATAAATGCTAAACACATTTACATTAAATACAGTAGCACACTTAGACTTCTAGACCCAAATAAAATATTTACTATGTAAGTATGAATCCTGCCCTTGTAAAAATGACCTTGGCAATCAGTTTCATGAAGATATGTGTGATAAGTGAATAGCTTCTAATTCAGAAAATAACATTTTGTATAAGCCCTTTTTCTTTCCTTTTAAGGAATATGGCACTGCTTCCGAGAATACCAAAGACTTCAGGGAAGCTCAACTTCTGAATTAACTATATACGACATCGGGATTCAGACTGATCTCAGCATCTACTTCGAACTGAAACAAACATGGTTCACATTTAGTGAGTGGGTTTTAAAACCGATTTTGTTAAAACTGTAATAACGGGAATGTATTTTTGTGTGTGTGTATCTAAAGGAAAGCTTGAGTTGGTGAAATCTGTTAAATGCATTTACCATTACCGACATTAAAGATAAATGTGTGTGTATTCCTACTACCCACCCAGACCAAACTGAATTCCAACTCACAGTGACCCTACAGGACAGAGTAGAACTCCTCCACAGGGTTTCCAATGAGCGGCTGGTGGATTTGAACTACCAACCTTTTGGATAGCAGTTGAATGCTTAACCACTGCGCCACCAGGGCTGAATATTCCTACTAGATACCATAAACGGAAAAGTCATTGAGGGGAATTTATTATATAATCTAGAAAAATACTGTTTTGCAATAATCTTGAACTATTTGCCTTCAATTTAAAATGGTTTGGATGTCAATATTTATAATCATTAACCTAATAGCCAAGAAAGATTTTTAAAAGGAAATAAACACTTGATTTTTCAAACTTGTTTTTAAAAAGGAAAAAAAAATTGAAACAAAAATTTGTTTCATTACAAAGACTTTTAAACTCTTTATTATAGCAATTGGAATTAATAAGTAAATCAAATTTACATTTTTAAAGTGTTTATTCAAATTATTGAATTGGTTTAAGCTAATATTAACAAATTTTTAAAAGCAAGATGATATCAGAGATGGCTTTAAGCCTATATTTCTAGAATGGTTTTCTAGACTAGAGCCCTGGTGGCATAGTGGTTAAGAGCTCAGCTGCTAAGCAAAAGGTTGGCAGTTCAAGTCCACCAGCCGCTCCTTGGAAACCCTGTGGGGCAGTTCTACTCTGTCCTGTAGGGTCGTTAAGAGTCTGAACTGACTCGACAGCACATAACATCAGGAAGAATGGTTTTATCATAATATTCCTTGCACTTGCACTCACAGAGATTCATGCTCTTTAAACAAGACTTTAAAAATAATCTCTAATTACACGTTGCTTTTAAAAAAAATTCATCTTCACATTTCTGAAGTTAGAGAGCCAGGTGAGACATGCTGGTCAGGAACCCAGAAAGAGCCTCAAAGGTAGCAATATCTTGGTGGGACATCATGATTCCAGGTATGCTTTCCATCCTCATAAATTTAAAACCCTGGGTAGTACAAACGGTTAAGCATTCGACTACCAGCCAAGAGGTTGGTGGTTCAAACAAACTTAAAAACTTGATTTTACCATTCCATCCAAAAGACATTAGGCTTTCAAGGTCAGGCTTCCCATAAACAAACATTTACATTATTTCACTAGAGTGCCATTTTATTTGTTTAAACCATGAGGATACTCTTTGTGACCAGAATGAAGACATATCCCATCTAGAACCCTTTCGAGGAATCAAGGTCTATGGCAGGCGTGATTACCAATGAAAAGCTTTTTTTAGCAAAAGGGCTTGAATAGCCTTGAGAGATGGTTTTTTTTCAAGAAGATGCCAACCTTGATGACTTAGCCCTGCTGCACAGAAGCCCCTGCTAGATTACCTGCATCAGCCAAATTCAGTTTTTCTCTTTTCCTTGGATAGTACTAGATCAAAATGGCAAATTCTTGCTCTGTCTTCCCCATCTCCATCTCTCGTTCCCTTCACTTAACATATTATTTCTTCAACTATGTTGCAGAATTGTTTCATTAATAGCTTTTTCTTTTCAGTCACATAATTCAGGCATCCTGGGAATTACATTCCTGAATTTGAATGATTCCATATCTCATCGGCCATCTACTTACTGTTATCTGTTATTTCTAAAGATAACTTATCTCACCTATAATGTATTGAGACCTCTAGCTTTACTCTGAGATGGATCTTTAGTTACAGATATTGTGGTCACTCCACTGCTGTGTCTTAAGTGCCTTTCACACAAAAATCATTAAGATCACCAGAATCTGCCATTGGAAAAGTTAAGAGAATGTACTTTTCGGGAAATACAGAACTTTCTTTTCTTTTCAAATCTAGCAATACTAATCTTTCCTCAGTTGAGCCTTGGCTTTTACAACCCATTTATCAGATATTAATTAATTACTTGCTCTGTCTTTGGACAAAATTCAAGGCACCAGAGACAAGGGCATATATATGAAATTATACTCATTGACAGAAACACTGAGAATAAGCAGAGTTATAAATACAAAAATTATAATTTTTATGTGTCTTAGATTATGTTAGGAGATGGTTCTATTCCTCTCTCAGCCATTAACTAACTTCATGACCTTGGGCCCATCTCTCAACCAGAGGCCCCAGTCTCCTCCTCTGTAAAGTTAGAGAGTTATACCAGCTGCCCTGTAAGGACTGAAAAAAAGTTTCTATTATTTGCTCTTATGCAAACTGCCAACCTTTTGGTTAGCAGCAGAGCTCTTAACCACTGTGCCATCAGGGCTCCTATTCAAACATAAGGTGGTAATATAGTATATACATCCAAAAGATATTTAGTTAAATTTCTCTAATTATTTTGATTATATACTTTTGAAAACGTGTAAGTTTAATATACAGTCTCAGGCTATAAAGTGATTCCGATATACTGCATTTACTTGGTTTCATCCAAAGAAGATAAGTATTTTGGCTTAATATGGTTATACTCCACAGTTTTGGACTCAAGTTAATGTTTTAAGAGAATAAAATGTGCACGAAAACACAAACACATAGTTAACACAAAGAAGGCACAGAAGCAAGATGATACATTACTAAGATTCTCGCACACCCCTGGGTTAACTGATTTCTATTTACTTGGTGATATTAACTGATATGTAATGTAATATCAAATCTTAGGGACATAACAATAGAATTAAATAATGATCTTCACACCACTGGAAGTGTTCAACCAAGAACAGGAAACTGCCAAGGATGTTGCACAAGGGATTCCTTCATAGGTGGGAATTTAATTTAGGTTTCCATTAAGTTTCATTTATTCTTCCAGATTCTGTTATAGCGCTGCTACACTTCCTTGATTTTAAGATCCACACTGTGATGGTTAATTTTATTGTCAACTTGGCTAGGCTATGCTTCCCAGTTGTTTGATTAAGCAGTACTCTAGATGTTGCTGCGAAGCGATTTTGTAGATGTGGTGAACATTTACAATCAGTTGACTCTAAGTAAAGGAGATTACCCTCAACAATATGAGTGATGTCCATAGTCTCATGGGACAACTCAGTCAGTTGGCATAACATAGTTCGCGAAAAACATGATCTGCATCCTAGTGAAGTGAATAGCGTCTGGGGTCTTAATAACTTGTGATCGGCCTTCTAAAACACAAGTACGGGTCTTCTCTATGCACCAGGAGCAAAACAGTAAGAAAGCAACTAAAAGCTCAGAGAAGAAACAAGTCTACACGAGCCACAATCTCACCTACCCTAAGACAAGAACTAGATGGTGCCCAGCTACCACCACTGACCTTTCTGACTGGCATCACAATAGATGGTCCTGGATAGAATGGGATAAAAATGTGAAGCAGAACTCATATTCTTATTTTAAAAAAAAAAAAAAAAGCCAGACAAACGACAGCAGTAGAGAACCAAGGACTCCCTGAGACTATCCTGTGAGACACTCTTTAAACCTAGAACCGAGCCTATCCCCTGAGATCATCTTTTATAGAAATAGCAGAGTGGCACAAAAAATAAAGGATATTACCTGTAAGATTGGTGCTGTACTTAAAAACCATCACTATGAGACCAAAAGGTCAACAATGACTCAGAAGCAAAGATGAGAAGATAAGGGGGCAGGGAAACTAGAGTACTGGAAATGGAACAAACAGAACACAATTAAAGAGAATGTTGGCACATTGTGATAAATGTAACTGATGTCACTGAACAATTTGTACAGAAATTGTCAAATGGAAACCTAACTTGTTGTATAAACTTTAACCAAAAACTCAATAAAATATTGATGATAATAATATGAATGGTCTCATCCAATCAGTTGAAGACCTTAAGAGCAAAACCTGAGGTTTCCTGGGCAGAAGGAATTCTGCCTCAAAACCATAACATAAATATCCTACCAGAGTTTCCAGCTTGCACATCTGATCTACGTTTTTATGAACTTGCCAGCTCACAATCATGTGAACTAATTCCTTAAAAGAAATCTCTCTCCCTCTTTTTCCATGGATGAAATGAAAGCTGTCCAATTAACTTGCTCAACTCAAAGGTTTTAATTTAGATTTCTTAGCACTTCTTGGAGGTTTTGAATGTGAATTTCTAAGACTGGCATTTTCAGAAAGGTAGCACTGCTTAAATTATGCAGTGTCAGAATTCACAGAGATGACTATAAAGATCAACCCTAACTTTTGCTGGGAAAGTTTGCTTTTTGGACTCATTTGTATCATAGACCTGATTTTTTTTTTTTTTTCTTGTTTAAAGTGATAATCCTCTGCATCATTGAAGCAATTATCACCATCATGCTGATCTTCCTCAGGAACAGAATCTGCCTCGCAATTGCCCTGCTGAAGGAAGGGAGCAAGTAAGATCCTTGATGTAGAAATTCAAATAACATATATTAATCAAATCATTCATTGTTCATTGCATAGATGCCCCAGACTACTTTCCCTTTAGGAAGACTTGTTAAAGATACTGCTTTCTCTTCAAAAAGACTTCTTCAAGTTTGGAGTCTACCACTTATTAAAAGGTCACACAGACAAGTGCTTTAATCTCCCCAAATGTCAGTTATCATAGTATAATGATAAAACCTGTCTAGTCTACTTACTTTTGTGTGTTTGAACACAAAATGTATGTTAGAAGAATAATATATATGCAAGTAAGTAATAAAGTACTATATAAAAGTTAATTATATATTATTTCCATACTTGGTCATATGCTAATATCAATGTTGGAGAATATTTGCAGAGCTTTAAATCACCATAATTGTATAAAGCCAATTATGTGCTATTACAATTTCTGTATGAAATTTACTAATAGGACAATTGATTCTAGTGGCACCAAACTAGACATTTTCTTTCTACAGCTCGTAATTCATAAACACTTTATACACAGGGCCATTTTCATTTTTAAAATGCTGCAAAATAGACACATTAAATGTTTCATAAAATTCATGCTGAGAGGTAATAACACCTAGAGCTTCCAAACTATTCCAAAAGGTCACTTGAGGACAATACTCTAGACTTCTGAATAATGCATAGGAGAAACAAGGAAAGCATTACTATAAAGCCAACAGACAATGCTCTCTATTTAGAATGATGGAAACTAAGTTGTTAATGACCACGGACCAAATCATTTTTAACAGTTTTTAAGGATTATTTTAACAAAATTACCATTTATAATAATAATCATGCCACCTAAACCCATTGGTTTAAATAGTTAACAACCAGTTTGTTAAACTCTCCTTCCCATGATCACTGAAGCACTATCATTAGTCACTGAAAACTACTGATTTTCTGGGTTTATTTCTTAAATAGTATGATATTGTGCAATTCTCTGTAACTTGCCCCACTTGTTTGCCTTTAACAATATGTGTATGTGTGGTGGCACTGTGGGAAAAAAAAACTTACATTCTAATTCTAGCCTTCCAGTGGGAATCAGGATTTTGATTCTCCTCCTGATGAAAATGATCCTTTAAAGGCCACTATAGATGTGACAGGTTGATATTTTGCTCAGGGGAAAATAAGACCTGGAATAAAAGGGTGTGAGAATACAGGGTAAACATCTAGGGATGCTAAATAAATACACTTAAAGGCGGTATATGGACAAAGGAGGGAACAGCGTAGCTCAAATAGGCAAAGAAGGTAACAAATGAAAAAGGAATGTTAAGGTATATCGAAGGTAGGATAAAATAGGAGTGGTACTATTTTCATCATATTTCTCAGTGGCTGTATCAAACAGTGCTGTCATACGCTGAAAAGGACTTTCAAAGGGAGCAGTTAGGAATACAGCAGCTAGGATGGTGAACACTTCATAAATCATGTCCTATGAGAAATACAAAGAAATGATTATCCTGGAGAAGGAAAGAATAAGGAATTATTTGAAGAGTTGCCATGTGAGCGAGGTGGTAGAATGGTCATCTCTTCCTCAGAAGGTGGTGGATGTGAGTTACAGGCAGACAGATATAGAAGAACTTTCTAATATTTTGATTGTTAAGAAAATAGAATAAGGACTATCATGTAAAAATAAGTTCCCATCAGTCAATGTGGTCACCAGAGGCTAGTGGACACATTTCAAAGATAGAAGGGATTCCTGAATTAGGAAGGGATTCCAGCAGTTGAAGAGATGATCTTTAAGGTCCTCTCCAATTCTACGAGTTTAAGAATTTAAACAAAGGGAAGAAATCGCATGACTAGAATGTATCAAATCTTTATGGATCAGACAGAAATAGCCAAAGAGAGAAGTTTGGGGAAATTTTGGCAGGAATTATAAATGAGCATTAGAAGAATATCCATAACTTATTAAAAAAATAGGAATTAAAAAAAAATAAAACCAACTAATATGCCAGAATGATCATGAAAAAAAAGACAGAGAGAGAGGCAATGGTTACTAATATTGTTCTTAGAACTAATTCAGTCCAAGGTTTACTTCTAGTTATAACAGAAAACAATTTAATTGAGAAACTATAGTTCTAAATCATTTTGAATTTCAACTATTTGTTTTATTTCAGAGCTATTGGATACATTCCCAGTACATTAATTTATCCACTTTTAACTTTCATTTTGATCTCAATCTGCATTTCCTACTGGGCCGTGACAGCAGTGTATCCTTTGTAATTGACCACTTTAAACCTCGGGTCCACATTGCTCTTCTGGAGCCATGAGTTTGTTCCATAGTGTTTTCCATCCCTGGGAAGACTAGGAACATCCTAAAGAATAACTTTTTTTTTTTGCCAAGCTCTAAAAAAGTTTCAGTACACTGAATTTTTCCTCAAATAGTCATATGGTGGATTTTGTTTTGTCTTCATAATGGTAGGTCTCCTTGGCAATAACCTAATAAAGCTCTTACGTATTTTCTTGTTTTTAAGGGGCCACTCAGTACAGCTGGCCCCGGTCACATTAATCTGGGTCTGAAAAATGGATGAGCTGTTAAAATAGTATACAGTAATGGTCATTTTTGAAGTTAATATCTCCATAGATTTTTGAGTTATCTGCATCCTTTTCTTGTCTGTTTGTTTTCAATCTAAGGGTAAGTAATTTATCCTTAATCAAGTTCACTCAGTTTCTTGGCTACATCAGGGACACCTATATATAAAGTCATAACCCCTGGGGGGCAATGTATACATGAAAATAAAACCTGTGACCCAGAGGTAAGTAAAAGAAACTCTCTCATTTACCTAGTTCAGTACAGAACTCTACTATATTCCATCTTGCAGTTGTTGCAGGAAACACATCCCGAAACAGAAATCCTGTGCACTGATGGGAATCATTGCTCAGAAGGGGAGGGATGGACAGGTGGTAGCGGGAGAGCACTGAAAACAGTGGGCAGAATGGAGAGAAAGCACTATAATTATTTCCTGAGATCTCCCTTGTCCTATCTATCATACATCCAAGAAGCATGCATGGTCAATGACAACAGTATAAATGTGAAATTATGTGGTGGGTACAGAGTGACAGGCATATGACAGCAAATGTGATAGCTTGTAGAACTCATTGAAGAGTTATAGACATAAATCTTAATTAAAGAATTATAATTAAAGAATTATATAAAATGATGTGGTAGAAAATAGAGGAGTAACAGCAGAAGCTAATTGAGAAAAAATAGAATGTGCAATTGGGGGGGGCTAGATAAGAGGAGAAGGCAGGGAAGATGTTATCTTGTAATGGCAGCTAATATTATATTCTGTGTGTTTTGTTTTGTTTTGTTTTTCTGAGTGCAGATTTTTAATACCACTGACATTTACAAAGCTTGCCCTGGGGCTATGTGTAACTTTGCTTTCTATGGTGGAAAGAGCCTGTATCATCAATACATCACCATCTTTCAGTTATACAATCTATTTGCCTTTCTCTGGCTTATAAACTTTGTCCTTGCATTGGGTCAGTGTACCCTTGCTGGTGCCTTTGCTGCTTATTACTGGGCCACAAAAAAACCTGATGACATCCCACCATTTCCACTCTTTACCGCATTTGGACGAGCCATACGGTAAGCTCTATGATGAACCCTACATCTATCTCCCCAGTGGTATTTAGCTTGTGCTTGTAATTCAGTCTTGGCTCATTAATTCAAGTGACAAGGTACAAATGAGTCAAAGGTAAGATTCAAGATCTGTGGATGCCCATTGGCTTTGTCTGGTTTCATAGCCACAGTTTTACAATCTCTACCCATACCAATATCCTTCTAAATGCCATAGGTCACTGGAGAAGGGAAGAGGTAATGGAATAACCAAATTAAAGGCTAAGGATTAATTTGGCTCTATCGTCTCCATTGCTCAGCTCAAATACCCTATTTTATGACAAGCTACTGGTATATTTTTGTTGATGAAGAGCAAGACGAATGTATATGGTTTAAAATCCTCTTTGGAGACCTTTGTCAATCTGAATAAAAGAGGGCAAGAGGCTCTTTCCCAGTAACACTTTTTATCTGTAAAAAACTGTTCAACTAGTATCCTTTTAGTTAATAGTAAAGACACTTTAACTTTTATTCTCATTTTATCTTTGCCCAGATATCACACAGGTTCCCTAGCATTCGGATCTTTAATTCTTGCATTAATTCAAATGTTTAGAATTATCCTAGAATACATGGATCACCGTCTTAAAAGTAAGATTCCAGAATTTATCTTATCTTAGATTTTATGACTTCTGTGTAGAGAATAGACTAGGGCAGGAGGTGCGGGGGGGGTGGGGCGGGGGGACACCTGATGACTGTAGCTTGGACTACAGTAGTAAGAATAGAGATGGTCAGATTTGGGATATGGTTTGAAGGAAAAGCCAACAGGACTTGTTGAGGGATTGAATGTCAGGGGAGGGAGTGCAGTGGTGAGTAAAAGACAGAAAAGTGTATGATGCTATTTATTAATATGTGGAAGCCAGGAGTAGCAAATTTGAAATAGGAGACCAAGAATTCTGTTTTTGGCATGTTAATGATGAGAAGCATGGTGGAGATGTCAGGTAGGCAGCTCCAAGTCTAGAGCTCAGAACAGGTCAGGCGTAAAATATAAATGTGGGTGCCATTGACATTAACCTTCATAGCTGACACACATAGTTTACAAACATATAAACTCTGTTTAGAATGCACCTTAAAAGATTTTATTATTGTTTGTTGTGATTCATAGGGTTCAGTTGAAAATCATTAATAGATTCAAGTGTCTCCTTCTCACAGATGCCCACAACAAGGTTTCTAAATTCCTGCAATGCTGTCTGAAATGCTGTTTCTGGTGTTTGGAAAAAATGGTAAAGTTTTTAAACAGAAATGCCTATATCATGGTAAGAAGATAAATTTTTTATTTACTAAGCCTCTTCTTTGCAAACCTGAACCCCATGCCTACATTGCTATCTCGAAAGCACTTTTACATCATGCGATTGCATTTATCACCATTTTGGGGAAAGGGTTTGTGAATCGAATGCAGGATTCTGGACTACGCTTTCCTAGTTAAGATAGTATCTTAACTGTGTTTCATTATTACCTTCAATATGTTTTCGGAGAAGAAAATTATTATTTACACTGAAAATTTTAAAGTATGCTACGTTGAAGATGCTTTAGTCTCTATTTCACTGAGAGGAAAATATCTTTCTAACTCTAGGATTTATGTATGGTTAAGGAACAGTGTGATCCTTTTTATGAATCTTGTTTTGAAATGTGTGGGCATTGACAATGCCTCACTGGATATGTTGCTTATTTCCCATGGGAATATGGAGACTTCTAAAGAGAGATTCTAATGAATAGGGGATCCAGAAATGTAATTTCTTCTAAAATTTAGCATCTATGATCTTTATGACACTTGATCATTATCACAGTGACATGGAGTCTGGAAAGTTGTTTAGCACAGAGTTTCAAATAGCCATTAATTTACTCCAGTGAGAGTATTTTATTGAGCGCTTTTAACCAGTAAATCAAGTATAGTGAAAGACTTTGTGTTTCCTAAGAGTAATTTTTAATGTGGCAACTAAAACATATAACCTGTTCACCAAGGAATCCTAGCTAAAACATTACAAAGACATACCCATTACCTGAGATTTGAGAAAAAAGACCTGCCTGTATTTGAAGCTGTCTAATCCTCATAGGGAAACCCTGGTGGCGGAGTGGTAAAGAGTTCGGCTGCTAACCAAAAGTTTGGCAGTTCGAATTCACCAGGCACTACTTGGAAACCCTGTGGGGCAGTTCTACTCTGTCCTATAGGGTCGCTATGAGTCAGAATTGACTCGATGGCAATGGTTTTTTTAATTCCCATGGAGCGTAGGGGCATCTAGCATTTAAGGCACATCTTATTGTCAATGACCTTGAGAGTCAGGGACACACAGGCCTGCTACAAACCCAGAAAGTGGTAAGACGGAAGGGGTAGATGTATAGATGGAAGATTATTAATTTGATTGTTTTCCTGCCGTTGGATTGTCCTTTGGTCTTGTTAGAGTTTATTACTGACTCCAGAATAATGTCAACTCTCTTCCTCAGATTGCAATATATGGCAAAAATTTCTGCAAGTCAGCAAGAGATGCTTTCAATCTCCTGATGAGAAATGTTGTAAGGTAAGTAATCAAGCTGAACACTGCAATTGGCAATGTGGTGAACCTTGAACATTATATACTTCACATGTTTTATAAGTATCAGTGGCCTTATTGGACATGAATATTATCTTTTTTAATTTTTATCATGGTTAAATATATATAACAAAAAATTTGCCATTTTAACTATTTTTAAGTGTACAATTTAGTGACATTACTTACATTCACCACTATCCATTTCCAAAAGTTTTTTTTCTCACTCTAACAGAAACTCTGTACCCCTTAAGCAATAGCTCCTCATTCTCTCCTCCCCCAGCCCTTCATAACTGCTAATAAATTTTTGTCTCTATATGTTTGCCTATTCTAGATATTTTAAATAAGTAGGATCATACAATATTTGTCCTTTTGTGTTTGACATTTCACTAAGCATAAGATTTTCAAGGTTCATCCTTGTCATAGCATGAATCAGAACTTCATTTTTCTTTATGGCTGGATATGACATTCCAATGTTTGTTATTACCCATACCCATTGCTGTCGAGTAGATTCCGACTCATAGCGACCCTATTGGACAGAGTAGAACTGCACCATAAGGTTTCCAAGGAGGGGCTGGTGGATTTGAACTGCTGACCTTTTGGTTAGCAGCCTTAGCCCTTAACTGCTGTGCCACCAGGGCTCCTTGTTTGTATGTGCCACATTTTATTTATTCATTCATCTTTGTTGACACTTGGATTGTTTCCACTTTTTGGCTCTTGTGAATAATGCTGCAGTGAACATTGGTGCACAAATATCTATTTCAGTCCTTGCTTTCAAGTGTTTGGAGTATATATATCCAGGAGTAGAATTGCTGGGTCATATGGTAATTCTAGGTGGCATAGTGGTTGAAGAGCTCGGCTGCTAATCAAAAGGTTGGCAGTTCAAATCCACCAGCCGCTCCTTGGAAACCCTACAGGACAGGGAACTGTCCTATAGGGTCACTATGAGTTGGAACCAACTCGATGGCAATAGGTTTGGGTTTTTTTGGTATATGGTAATTCTATGTTTAACTTTTTGAGGAGCTGCCACACTGTTTTCCACAGTGGCTGCACCATTTTACATTCCCACCAGCAATGGATGATTGTTCCAATTTCTTCACAAACTCACCAACACTTGTAATTTTCCTTTTTTTTTTTATAATAGCCATCCTAATGGTGGTGAAGGGGCATCTCATTGTGGTTTTGATTTGCATTTTCCTAATGACTAATGATGTTGAGAATCTTTTCATGTCCTTGTAGACCGTTTGTAGGTCTTCTTTGGTAAAATGTCTATTCAAAGTACTTTGCCCATTTTTTGATGGGGTTGTTTGTTTAGGTTGCTGGTAGGTGCCATCAAGTCAGTTCCGACTCACAGTGACCCTATGTACAACAGAATGAAAAACTGCCCAGTCCTGCGCCATCCTCACCATCATTGTTATGCTTCAGTCCATTGTTGCAGCCACTGTGTCAGTCCGTCTCATTGAGGGACTTCCTCTTTTTCACTGACCCTCTCTTTCACAAAGCATGATGTCCTTCTCCAGGGACTGATCCCTCCTGATAACATGTCCAAAGTATGTAAGACGAAGTCTCGCCATTCTTGCTTCTAAGGAGAATTCTGGCTGTACTTCTTCCAAGACAGATTTGTTCATTCTTTTGGCAGTGCACGGTATATTCAATATTCTTCACCAGCACCATAATTCAAAGGCATAAATTCTTCTTCTGTCTACCTTATTCATTGCCCAGCTTTTGCATGCGTATGGGTGATTGAAAATACCATGGGTTGGGTCAGGCACACCTTAGTCTTCAAGATGATATCTTTGCTTTTTAACACTTTAAAGTGGTCTTTTGCAGAAGATTTGCCCAATGCAATGCATCGTTTGATTTCTTGACTGCTGCTGACATGGATGTTGATTGTGGATCCAAGTAAAATGAAATTCTTGACAACTTCAATCTTTTCTCCATTTATCATGATGTTGCTTATTGGTCCAGTTGTGAGGATTTTTGTTTTCCTTATGTTG